AAAATTTTATGTTAGTACAATAATATTTCGAGTACCAAAACATATATATTAATCTTATATAAAATTGTCGTTTTGAAACTTGAAAATTCGAAACTAATAATTAAAAAATATCTTTGCGTGTGTTTTTAGATACTTGAAGTCCCACATCCGTTTTTATATTTTATTTTTTTGAATTACCTTATTTTTTTATAATGAGTTCCTATATATCTTAATTCTATTTTATAAAATTATATTTAATAAGATTTGTGGAATATTGCTATATCTAATTAATTTAAAGATTTTATATTATTTATTGTCATAATGATGGAAACTTCTATTATTGTTAATATTAATTTATATTTGTTAATATTTATTCCTATCTCATATATATATATATTTAATTACATTTATTTATCACATTCATCTACTAAGGTATTTTATCAATTAATTTCGATTTCAAGTTTTCCTTGGCGTAAATTACCTATTATTTTCAAATTTTAGTGGCGTATTATTTATCTAAATTTCTAGTCAAAAAATAATTATCTCTGAAACTCCTTGTCCAACAGTGATAAAGAAATTGCAAGCTTGTCCAACGAGATCGATAGCAGTGACAGCTTTTATGGAGTTAGAAGAGCCAATTATTAATGCTATTACTGAAATATCACAATGGCTTGAAAGAAATATTTCCTCAGAAGCAAGAAAATTATTGGATTCATTACTTATTCCAAATTTTTTTCTCATTAGAATGTATTATTAATTATATAACTATTTGTAATACTTTTCAAAAAAATGATATTGACTTGATTAAGAAGATGAGAATAGCGGAGAGCATTTTATTAGAACTCAAGGAAATTAGAGCTAATGTTGATGAAGAATTTCATATTTTATATCTTATTGTTGAGTCAAAAACAGAGCTATACGTGTTTAATATTTGTCCCCCTCGACTTGCAGCAAGCAAGCTCATCGTCAAAACATTAATATAGGATCAGTAGAAGAGTATTATAAAACAAATGTCTTCTCTCTTAGATACATTTATAACCCAAATAAATGAATGGTTTTTAATCATGCAGCACTTACAAATCCGCAGATATTACTTCTACAAAAGCCTTTCCAACCTTTTTCAGATGGTGATAGAAAAAAAAAAATATTTGTTAGATTTTTATCATGAAGATGTTAAAATATCTTATGATGCCTTATTAGCTGAATAACTATGATTAAAAGGTTAACTATGGTTGATACAGTCCCAAAAAATTGCTTTGCATTATTTCAAACACTTTTTAGATTATATTCCTTCTTCTTCTTTATTATGCATATGGTCTCACAGTCGTGGGGTTCGTTTTGATAAATTTCTTCCATCTTGATCGAGTAAGGGCCATGTCCGGATTTATCTTCTTAGTCATCATAACTTTGTCTACTTGACCTTTCCACGTAACACGAGGTCGCCCTCTTCCTCTCTTCCCCGGCACCTCCATGTCCATTACTTTTCGATTTACATCATTCGTCTCCCTTCTTAGTATATGACCATACCACCTTAACCGATTTTCATTTATCAAGTCCGCTATTGGTTGAATACCCATTTTTGCTCTGAGACAGTCATTCGTCATATGGTCGAGTTCAGTATACCCCAAGCTCCACCGTATCATTCTCATCTCCGTTGCTTGTAATAACTTTTCTTCCGTAGCGCTTAATGCCCATGTTTCACTTCCATAGAGTAACACAGGTTTTACGATGGATTTGTAAGCTTTGCTTTACAACCATATTGGCATCTTCTTGTCGCACATTACACCGGATATACTTCACCAATTAAGCCATCCTTTTTGGATCCGTGCATTGACTTCTTTTGCGCAACCTCCCTCTTAAAGTAGCATCGAGCCTAGGTATGTAAACCTGTCTACTTTTGGGTACTATGATTGGTCATCCAGCGATGGGGTGCCTGTAACGTTCATCTCCATGTATACCGTTTTTAGATTATTGACCTTTAAACCATATCGAGCTAAGCGTTTTGACCACTTTTCGGCTTCTTCGAATACTTTCTCCTTTGTCTCTTCGCATAGTACTTTCCCAATGTATTAAAATTGTTATATGAATATATTAGCAACTCTTCCCATTAGTAAACTAATGAGAGAACATTCTCTTTTTTAAGAAGAATAACAGAGCCTTGCAGAAGTACCATTTGCAGGCACGGCCCAGATTTTTTTTAAAATTTTTTTTTGGCCCGCGTTTTTTTTAAAAAATATTTTCAGGCCCGTCCCGGCTTTTTTGAAAATAAAATTTTCAGGCCAGGCCCGAATTTTTTTAAAAGAAATTATATATTTTTTTTTGAGTTTTATAGCTAATAATGGCGATTTCAAATGTTTGATTTTAAAATATACAGCTCGGGCCGGATATTATTTTTAAAATAATTTTCAGGCCCAGCCCGGGTTTTTTTAAAAAAAAATTTCGGGCCTGGCCCAGGTACGTTTAAAAATTTAAAATACGGTCCGGCTCGGGGGCCGGCCTGAAAGTCTCCGAAAAACATACCTATGAAATACAACTTCTGAAAGTAGATTGAATGATTTGGATCTTTTGAATATTCATAGGCATTTAACGCCAAACAACAAGGATAGATAAATGAAAAATTAGCTCAAAACATACAAAATACAATTATTCCTAAGAAACATTTTGTGTATTAATTTATATTTCCAACATTTAAAATTTTTATACTTTATATATTTTAAAGGCTCAAAAAATGTCATTTAAGTGATTCATATCGTGGTTTTATATTCACTTTATATTTTATAATTCACATTTATTTTATAGTTTTTCAATGCCATTATATATATAATTTTTTGTAATTCATATTAATTTAAAATTGTGTATTAGAAAAGTTATTAGTCCTAATAAACTTATGCTTGGTATTTTTATTTAACAAATAATATTTCTTAAAAAAATTTATTATCCCCCCCCCCCCCCCCCAGACCAAATTCCTGCGTACGCGCCTGGTGAGTAGCTAAACAACATTAAATAAATTTTGGATTTTGTATATACCAGAATTTATCAGACATCTTGGTGACCACCATCTTTATGAAAATTAAAAATTAACGTGAAAAATTTCGAGACTAAATATTTGCTTCAATAAAAAAAGGCCCTCAGTTATTATTTTGGGCACTTTTTGCTAATTTGTTTAAAAATAATAATAGGTTTCTTTAGGAAACTACAACTGAGTGAGAGGCGTATTTATGGCATTTGCTCCTTCCAAATGTTCCTAACTGGATACTTATTTATGAGAATGAGGGAAAATATCAATGTGGATATAATAAAATAAATACGATTACACATTTGCGCTTACCTTATCTAATGGTATAAATATATCTCATGGTGATTGTGATCATAGCTTTAAAACGTTGGTAGTGTTTATAGCACCATTAAAATATTTTATAGCGCCTTGTATATCTATTTAGCTAGCAATGAAATTGGTAACTGCTTTAAAAAAAATTGTGTATCACCTCTTTGACAATTATAAAGTTCAATTGTAGTTACGCCACTAGTTTGATAGGTATTGCATACCATAATTCGTTATTTGTTTAAAACAAAATTTGTTTAATTTGCTAGTATACGCTTATAACCAGCAGTTTTATTCAACACTAAACGAAGGTGGGTGACCTGGTTGGCATTGCTAAAGGTGATATAACCAACGGAGGTTAACATCATGATAATTTCCTTTTTAATTTAGTTCTTTTTAAAATATATTATAAAAGCAAATCTAAAAACACGTGTATCTATGAAATCCTCTCCATTTTTGTTTTTGGCAGCTCAGGCTCATTTTCTTTATTCAGAATCTTGGCACATCTTGATCCTTATCACCTTCAGCCATCCGTGCCCTTGGCACTATTAGGTATTTCAGAAGACATGAATAAATATTTATTTCTTTTTTAAAAAACCAAGAGTAGTTTGTTTAAACAGCAGTTATTTCTCTCCCATTGACTTCTTATTTTTAAAAAAAATTTATCCCAAAGATAAAGATATATAAAATATTTTCCAGGAAAAAGAATTTTAACAGAAAAAAAAATTTATTTTGGAAATACGTATAGGAATCGATGATAAAATGTGAAATACGTGGACCAATAATACAGGAAATGATAAAATGCAAAATAAGTTGGATTAATCAATTTAATCAAATAATAAGCCAATTTAAATATTTATTTATATTTAAAAAGTTGAAATAGTTTATGTGAAAATTAAATATTTACATATTTCAAATTTTTTTAAATTTTTTAAAAAGAATAAAATTACAATGTAAGATAAAAGGTAGAAAAAATAATTCGGATTAATTAATGTAATAACAGTTTAAATATTTATTAAGTTAAAATTATATTTCAAATAGGAGAATAGAACTACATATTTAATATTAAATTAAAAGTATAAAATATTTTTCGATGGCACATTAAAATGTTTATATCGGATCACTGCGACGATACATTAAAATTTCAAAATCGATACAGTTTGATACACAAAAATTATAACGATACATCTGAATCCTGATAACTTTTATTTAAAAACTTAAGGCAATTAAATTTTTCAAGATCTCTTGATGCTCAAATTGTCGTTACCTCTCATAGCGGCAAAAATCTCTGTGAAACTTTTACAAGTCCACAAATTATGATTTCTCTTTCTATTTTTTTATATTTATTTTTTTTTAAAAAATGACAATAATATTTTGAAGAGATATAAATTCTGCCAGCTTAACTGTATAAGGAAAAAACATTCAAAAAAAAAATCAATATTAAAAATTTATGAAAAGTTATTGGTAAAAAGAAAGAAAATTTTTTTCATTGCTATGTTATTTTTTAAATTTTATTCATTTAAAAATTGTAACTTTATTTGAAATGAATAATCGAGCGCATCTGGCCCGCATAAGGAAGATCTAATTTATATTGTATTTTTTTATTTTATTATTATTAGTTTTTTATTTTATAATAATATAATTATATTATATTTTTTTTATTAAAAGACTTTTAATCGCTAATATTTATTCTGATAACCTTTGATTTTCACCAAAATCGATCCAATATAACAACAACAACAAATAGACGATCACAAATTATTTTTTCGCTCATTTTATAATTACTCGTTTTGAAGATTTCTCGCCATTCAATTCGTATAGATTCCATCCAATTCCTTAAAACCGAGATTAAACTATTTGAAGAAATGGTAAGTAAATCTTTCTTTCTTTCTTTTTTTTCGGAAATATTATAATTATGCATATTATTTTTTCTTTCCCTAGATCATGGATAAATTAGGATTAAAATCCCTGTATAGGTCTGACCTTTTTTTTTGAATTCATGGCCGATCCGAACATTTTTTTTTAAAAGAAGATTGGATTGAGGAAAAAGTAAATTTTTCGAGGAAGGCGGGGGGAAAGAAAAAATTCCAAGCGTTGAAAGTAAAATATTAAGTGGTGAAGTCTGACTGACTCAAATAAAATTTTAAAATTTGATCCGACCAGGCCAGATATTGTCTATTCCGGAAGGAGATTCCTGCACCCTAAATTCTTAATACAATTTATCCTCAAATAGGCAATCAAAGCTACCCCTCCCTACCAGACGAAAATGTCACAAACTACCCCCACCCCTCCCCTCAAACCACCCTCTTCGCCTCCATGTTAGAATCCCTAATCTGAATAACTGACAGTTCTGTACAGGTCTATAGTCATGACTATTCTCATAATTAAAAAACATATTGCTAATAGCGAACTGTTTTTTTTTTAAATTTAACGTTTATAAAGCAATATTTGTTATTTTGATGGTAAATTTAATTTTACAAATTTTGAGGTCATTGAATAATAACAATTATTTTTATTTCATTTTTAGCCCAAAGAAGATATTACTATGGATGGTAAATTTTAATTTATTTATTTTAAAATATTAAAATATTTATGATTTGAATTTGCACGTATGTAAATTCTTATATTAGCGTGATATTTTAAGTTAAATTTTAAACCTCCATATTATATCTAAATTCAAGCTTCCTTTTTTTCGAATTAATTTCAATTATGGAGTATTTTTTTTTTAAAAAATAATCATTTGAGTAGCGTTGTTAATCGGCTCGATTTTAGCCGCCGATTTTTAAAATCGGTTAATTTTATCGGTTAATTTTACCCATAAAAATATTAGGGCAAGAGCCTGAAGATTTTGTTCATAGATAGATAGCGCACATGTTTAGACAACTATTAATAAAATCTCGAGGCCTTAGGCAATATTTTTTCTGGATAGAATATTGTGATAGCCATTTTTTAAAAAAATAGGTTCCAAATCAAGCCGTTTTGACAACACTAGATTTTGAGTAATATTTTATTGAGAATAATATATTCTTTATCCACCCCTCCACATATTATACCTGAATGATATTTTCTCTTTGTGCCGCTGTAACAATCTCCGAAACCTTTGTCGATTCGTATTTAATTTGTTCAATGAATTACTCTTTTTTTTTCTGTAACTATTTTTCACACTATCAAATAGGCGATATCTCTAAAATATTTTGCATTTTTTTTTTCATTTTCATATTCATATATATATATTTGATGTATTTAAATCGTCTTTTGAAAGACTTTAATAGTTTTGGTTTATCCCGGACGTTGATTTTGGACTTTTGCATAGCCTCCAAACCAAACATAAATAGCGGGCTTTTTTAAAAAAATCTGGCAGCTTTATTACATATATAATATCTACTATATCACATTTTTAGTCTTATTAAGTGTACTTCCTTTCGGAGTTATGTGACCTTTATTTTTTGTTGAAAGACATAGCATTTTTTGTATTTAAGGTGGATATCTTCCTCTATTAATATATATATATATATATAGAGATATCTCATAATTAAAACAAACTCTTAATTGTTGCTTTCTTCTCCGATTTTGTAATACATCTATTAATTTAATCATTCGCGTTACATTAATTTCACTTAAATTATATTCTCAAAATTTTTGCGGTTCATCCAATAAAGCATCCAAGCGCGAAAGCCGTAAAGGCCAATGCGATTGGCTAAATTTTATATTCTACACTGAAAAAATGACACTGCTATTTAAAAATTAGATTTAAATAAGGAACTTTAAGATAATGTAGTAGGAATCTCAATATATATATATAATTCTTAATTGGAAATAGATATGAAGGAGGCTTTCTTGATATTCGATAGAAAAGGAGACGATAAAATTGGAACTAGTGACGTGGGCAACCTGTTAAGATCTTTGGGACTCGTACCCACTGAAGTCGCTGTCAAAAAAGTTGGGGGAACCGATTTAGCAAGTTATTTTTCTTAAATAATATATTATATATATATATACGCTATAAAAATTTATTTTCTAAGTTTAAATAACCCAAAATTTGATTGTAATATTTTGTTGTCGCTTTTAAGGTGAAAGACGGATAACTTTCGAAGAATTCTTGCCGATGTTTGAAGAGGCATCCAAAATTAAGGATGCCGGATCATATGAAGATTTCATAGAAATAATGAAGGTGTATGATAAAGAAGGTGACGGAACTATATTGGCCGCTGAAATAAGGCACGTTCTCTTAGCCTTAGGTACTTTTTTTTTCCATATATTTTTCATTTTCAGTTATGCGGGAAAATATTGGGATTCGAGCAATAGATATTTTTTTTCTGCGTTATACTTTATATTGGTTGGAATTTAGAGATCTTCATGGGTCGGCATGGACCGGGTCTGAGGTTTTTTAATTTATTTTTTATAATGGACTTGGGCTGGACTTGGTCCTAATATTATTAAATTTAAAATTATGCTTATTTAAAATAGTCGTTAACTTAAAGAAATATTGCCATTTTTTTCTACCAATAATATTGATTTTCGGTATTGTAGACAAAATGATCGGTCTAAATTCATTAAATACAATAAATGAGTTAGGGGTTTGGCAAAAAAATTTTTTGCAACTTATTATGGGCTTGGGTTTAGCTTGGTCAAAGAATTAGCATCCACGAAGGTCTCTGGTAGAAATTTCTCAATTCGATGCATTCCATTAGGTGTAAATTATATAAATTTTAGACCATTTTTTTCTAATGAATCTTTTGAAATCATTTTTTAATTTTATTAAAGTAAATTTCTTGATTTCTTACTGAATTCTTTCTTTCTTTTTTTTTTTTTACCTCAGTAAAAATATATATGCTTTATAATAATTTTGTCTAAATTCGGGTCAATTTTTTTAAAAAAACGCGCCGATTTAAGATTTTAGCCAAAATAGTTTTATGTAAGCCTCGAGAATTTGGCAAAATAGATGTCCAAACCTTTCTGCAAATCTCCAGGCTTGCACAATATTATTTTGGCTAAATTCTAAAACGGACATTTAAAAAATCGATCCAAATCGGGTCTCAACACCCCGAATTTTCAGAGATTTAAAATTGTTTAAATGGGCATTTTTGAGACTACAGACCAAACATAGACCGATTTATGGGCAACCCATCGAACCTGGGGTAATGTGGACCCTGGTTAGGTTCGAACCTATTTTAGATAATCGATTGTTTGAAATAATTTTTTTTTAACCTATTGCTTAAACAAAAATTTTTTTTTTATTTATTTAAAAATACATATTGTCAGGCGAAAGATTAAAAGAAAATGAAGTCGACGAAATTTTACAAGGCAAAGAAAATTCGGACGGTTATATCGAATATGAACGTAAAATTTTTATCAAATTTTTTTAATTTTTATCAAAATTCTTTACTTTTTATCAAAATTTTTTAATTTTTAAGACCCATTTTTCGATAATTTGCTTTTGCGGGAAATTTTTTATTTTTAATTGAGAACAAGAGCATATATATATATTTAGGGTTTACAGCTGCTTAATTTTTTTGTGTTTGTGATATCTTTTTTTTTAAAAAAAATCGAATTTTTCATTTAATGTGTGTGTGATAATTATTATTTCTATACCTAAAATTCTTCTTTTTTTTAAAAAAAAATTATGGTTTCCTAAAGAAAATAAAGAAAGAAAGAAAGAAAGAAAGAAAGAAAGAAAGAAAGAAAGAAAGAAAGAAAGAAAGAAAGAAAGAAAGAAAGAAAGAAAGAAAGAAAGAAAGAAAGAAAGAAAGAAAGAAAGAAAGAAAGAAAGAAAGAAAGAAAGAAAGAAAGAAAGAAAGAAAGAAAGAAAGAAAGAAAGAAAGAAAGAAAAGAAAAGAAAAGAAAGAATAGAAAGAAAGAATAGAATTCCTAATCCTGGAAATCTCTTAATTAAAAAGTTTCTCCACATTTAACATGTTTCTAGTCTCTATTTAATTTGCAGATTAAAGCAGTAGATTAAATTTTTTTATATAAATAAGAACCAAATTATGAGGAATTTTAACATATTTGATAAAGAACCGATCGATTCGAATTTAAGAATGAAGAGACAAAGATACTATAATAAATATTCGTGGGGATACTTTTATCTCTCGGATATTAGCTATCCTTACAAAAGAACAAGATGATGACATTTTAATTTAATATTTATATGAATCTTGAAATTATTATTAGTATTGTTAAACGGCTCGTTTTGGGCCGATTTTTAAAAACGGCTAACTCAGTATTTTAGCCAGAAAAAATATTACCCAAGCTTGAAGAATTCCGATAATATATGTCTAGACCCGTGTTCCTTCTATGAGCAAAATCTTCAGGCTTGGGTAATATTTTTCTGGTTGAAGTATTGATTTAGCCGTTTTTAAAAAAATCGGCTCAAAACGAGCCATTTAGCAACTAATTATTTATAAATTATTCTAATTTTGCAAAAATATAGCATTCGTAAGTTTCGTCATGAATACCTCCGCTTAAAAACTTGACCCGGCCTTGCAAACAGGATATCATCATTTTATTTATTTGATTTTGTAATTATCATAACTTTTTTTTATTGGTTCGATTATAATATCGCGAAACTTGTAAATTCTTTACGGGAAAGGGAGTTTATCTAAAACAAAAACAAAACTATACTTAGATAAACCTAACTTTTACAATTATTAGCGATTTTAATTGATTATATTTTTTTTTTATCTACCATAAATTTGAAAATAAAACACACCATTTAATGCCTGCCCGTTAAATATCATTTAAAGTACAAAAACTATTACAAATTTCAATTAATATTGTTTTCCGGGGTAGATAGTAGCTTAGGGGTGCTGCTAGGACAGACAAAATAATTAAATAATTTGCGTCTTAGAAGCTTTTATATATATTTTTTTTTATTCGCTTTAAAATTTAATATTTTTTTTTTGACGAAATTAATTATTTGAAGATTTGTTTTGATTTAATTCCATGTCATTAGTATTATATATTCTTGAAGCCCTCTAAAGAATTAATCTACCATGGCTAGGAATGGGTGTAATAAAATATTTGCTAAGTTAAAAAAAAAAAACCTCTCTAAAGGATTCCATAATATATTTCTGGATAAAAATATTAAAATTTATATTGGGTGAATAATAATAATAATAATGATAAATAATAAGAAAATTAGGTATTATTAAACAAATATTTTCAGTTTGTCAATTGAGGAGATTAAACGAATATCGTGTTCAGGTATTCTATCGATTTTGTTAGATTCTTGTCCTGATAAAATCGATATATTTAAAAATGATTAATTTATAATGATGTTCCAAATTATAAATATAAACCTTTATGCAAGCGTTCATGAACTCCTCCGAGGTCACTTTCCCATCTTTATTCGAATCCATTTTCTTCATTTTATTTAAAAGGTTTTGTTTTTTAAAAAAAAAATTTTACAAGGTAATGTTATTCAATAAGTAAGTCCGTGTGCCCTACTTCCGACAAATACTTTTCTTCCTTTCATTCTTTCTTTCTTTCTTTCTTTCTTTCTTTCTTTCTTTCTTTCTTTCTTTCTTTCTTTCTTTCTTTCTTTCTTTCTTTCTTTCTTTCTTTCTTTCTTTCTTTCTTTCTTTCTTTCTTTCTTTCTTTCTTTCTTTCTTTCTTCTTTCTCTTTCGGGATGGGTCCGAATCGATTTCCCAAATTAAAAAAAATATATGAATCAAGGTCCAGGCCCTAAAGAATCCGGAAAAAAATGTCCGTCCTCTCGGACAGGCCCATGCGGGACTCTAATAAGTCAATATCGGAAAAATATTTTACAAAAAAAGAAAATGCTTTGTCTACTTTCTAAAGCTATTCGCGAATCTCTATGTCTATACGAAATACAAAAAAAAAATGGGAAATAAATATATATTTTACATTTTCGATGTAGCTAGCAGATTTAATTCGTCTAATCATACCCGTAGCCAGGAATATTCTACTGTGGGGGAAGGGGAGGGGTGGTGGTGTAATTTTTTCTTCATCAATATTATTTTTTAGGCATACCCTCGAAAGTATACCCCCTAGAGTACCGAATAATATTAATCATAGCTATATAAATAGGTAAGTCACAATAAATTAAGAATTAAACATTATTACGATTTAAAAAAGTTAATTAAAATATCTTTCATAAATGGAAAATTTATTCATTCTATACGATTGCGCAGATTGTTCTGTATTGTCGATTAAATCTCTGTTGCATATTAAGCATAGCTAGTCCATTCAAATCGATTTTGGGATGTCGTAATTTTGAGATATTTTTCCAATTCTTCGTAGTGAAGAAAAGGTCCTTTCATTATGTTCGTACTAATTAGGTATCGTTGACAAAATATACCTATACAGTTATCTTAATATATTTGAAAAAAAGCTTCAAAATGTATTTTAAAGTATGCAATGCTTCCCGTGGATTACTTGGAAGATATTAAATCTCGCATACCAAAAATTTAAATTTTGAAATTAATTGGCCCTCAGATATATTACCATTATATTCTCTAAATAAAATTGCGCTAAATATTTAATTATTTCAATATCGATTTAATCCTTAGACTGATTTCTATAATAGTTATTTGTAAATTGGATAGAACCATTTGTTAAATCACAAATCGTTGATTGATTTTGAAAAAAGCACATACCTAAAAGTCGAAAAATAAGGGTTATTTATTTTTAATGGTAATCCTCAATTGATTCCGCGTTTTATACTGAAACGATTCGTTTATTGGGTGCAAGTCCAGACTCTCGAATCTCGTGATCATATAATTTCGTCTCAACAAATCACACAAATCGTAAAGTTCTTGGTCAATACTATATCTTAGTTTTCTAAGTTATAATTATAATAAATTATTCGCGATTATCATAACTTCAACCAAATCCTGAAAAAGTATTGCAAATTGTTACGTAGCCTTCAGATGATATACCTAGTTCAGGTCATTCCGATATTCCGAGGGCAATCAAAAATGGGTTCTTCTAGATTCAAAAAGACTAAATCCGGAAGGCTCCATCTTGCCTGGTACGCATTTTAACAGAGTCTCAATAATTCTACTAATATAAATTCCGTCACTTTGGATTTTTTGAACATATCATACAACTCTAACATTTTTTGCCTTATCATAGTTTCATAGTTATTAGTAAAGATAAATTAAATGAGAGTTTTATTTGGTTGATAAATTTTTATTCATCAGTTGTTTAAGACTTTTTTTAAAATAAAAATGTAAAAAAAGTCACATTAAATTTTCGCGGGATATATTCACAAAGGGTAAGAAATATTTAAATAATTTTAACTTTTTTTTGCTAAAATATAAAATGGAATATAATTTATTCGAATTGAAATATGATATATTTTGCAATTCACAAATATTTTTGCTACATGGAGGAGGTGGGGTTGGCACTGGCTACGCGCCTGCGTCTAACACTTAAAAAATAATCACCTGATCATGTAAAATTGAATAAGTTAAGTGTTAGGCACGAATTACTTTTATTTTAAACTCAAAAAAAATAAATAAAAAAAATTATGTCTATAAAAATTTACCCGGAAAATTCTTTCAACGTGATTTTTGATAAAATTTTCCGTATCACCCATCACTTTGTCCCGGCATTCTTCCGGGAATTTACTGAATAATTCGTAGATGGCAGTGACGATGGACGTCATCTCCTCCCTGCTTATAAATCCGTCCCCATTCACATCGTATAACTTGAAAGCCCACTTCAATTTGTCCTCCAAAGATCCTTTCGATATGGCGGACAATTCTCTCGCAAAATCCTTTAGATAAATAATGTATAGGTGAATCCAAAGAATATCAAAAACTAAGGGTATGGGATAGTGTTGTTAAACGGCTAACTCAATATTTTAGCCAGAAAAATATTGTCTAACCCACGAGATTTTGAAAATATATGTCTAGACCTTTGTTCCTTCTATGAACAAAATCTTCAGGCTTGCGTAATATTTATCTGGTTAAAATACTGAGTTAGCCGTTTTTAAAAAATCGGCTCAAAACGAGCCATTTAAACAACACTAGTATGGGATTAGTCCCAAATGTAAATTTAATATTATACCTCGAATACAATTGTCCCCGTACGACTCTTGTCCAAACTTTTGAATACGTAATACGAATATTTTGTTGAATCTTTTTCGAGAAAAAGAATAAATCAAATTTCAAAAGTTCTGGAGATTTTTTGCTCATAGACGGCAAAAAGATTCGGTCCTCTATTTTGCCGTATCACGAGGCTTATACATAATTGTATTTCGGTTTCGAGTCATTATATACTTTCGATAGAACCGGTTCAGTACCCGGCTAATTTTAAAAAAGAAAAGAGGTTCTCGAGTTGGGCAGAGGTCCTCTGGGAAAAGAATCTATTTACAAATCTTTATAAAAGAAATGGATTTTAGATACTGATACCTGTATCTATCAGCCTATTCAGATAAATAAACCAATGGTTAGTTAAAATAAAATCAGTAATATTCTTATTTGAAAATATTGATACATTTAAAATATCAAAGGCAACATTTCTACAGAATATCATATCTGATAATCTATGTTATATATATATATATGACTAAAAGGAAAGCTATATAATGCTTTGAACTTCTCATTAAAAATAAAAATCTTCAAAAAAAATACAATTATTTGTGGATATGGTGTTTATTGTACAGTACAACCTTAGAAAATTAGTTTTAAAAACAAAATAAAGTTTTTTAAAACAAAATAAAGTTTTTTTAAAAACCGCAGTAGAACTCTTATTACTTGATAAATTTCTATGAATTTTCCTAACATTTTATTGTATTTGAATTATTATTTTAAAAAAAAATTCTGATATTCTGGGAAAAAAAATCTCTTGATAAAATTTTTATAAGGCAATGACATAATAATAATGCCTAGACTGACGATGCAATTCATAAAAATGTATTTGAAAGCGTAGTTGAATGCAAATCAGCTGAACCCACCATTTTGGTTACCCATATATAGTAATTATTCTCACGTTAAAAAAACTACTATTTAAATTGATAACTTGCTTCCTTATTATCTTGATAATCAGGCAATTCTTTAAATAAAGTTTGCCCCCGACGTAGGAATAAATTGGCCTCTAGTTTAAAATTTTTAATGATGATAGGGGTAATCAAAATGGCGTCATCAGCTGTTAATGGTCAGTCTAGGTATTATTATATGTCATTGATTCAAGGATGATTTTATTTGGTGCCACCCTTTAAAATATTTTTTAAATATCTGGATATTTTAATAATAATTTTTTATATTTTATAAAAAGATTTAAAAATTAATCGAATAATTTTCAAAACGTTTCTTTTCATATTTTTTTTATCTCCCGTTAAATCAAAATATTCCCTTTATAAAACTGTTAGAAAAAGAAACACACATTCAGACCTTACTAATTATCTAGGATCTTGAAATCAAAATATTCAACGGTAGAAAAGAAAATAATAAATATTCAAAGTGTAAATCTGATAAAGATAAACCATTTCATTTCATATATATATGCGATTATACTTCCTGCAGGGAAAAAGGTTCCATAGATTTGTTTGAATGCATTGAAATTCAATACTCCGTTAGGGCATTCCTACGTATAAGATTTAATTATCTATAATTTATTATACAGTAACAATATGAAAACCTGTTTAAATCCCTGATACAATATTTGAATCTCCTTTCTATCAAATTTTGTTTGAAGGCAGAGATTTTGCAGCAAGTTTTGGGATTGGGCGTGATAATTATTCATGCTTAAAGAGATTCTTTACATATCTTTATTATATATAATATATAATATATATATATATATATTTTTTTTTTATTTTTAAAGAAAAGTATTTTTTTTAAATCTTATAAAATAAAAATCTAAATTTTTTAATAATCGATTTTAACTGTTTTTTTTTTATTTTTTAAAATAACCAATTATATAATTTAGTTTAGATAATGATAAAAAAATATATATATTAGGATTAATTAATGGTGTCCAATGAAGGACATATATATTTTTGCCAGATATTTTAATCAGATTATCGATTTAAACAAAAAGGGAATATATACATATTAGCAAATATTAGGTATAATTTAGTCATAAACAAACCAGTGCCTAACTAGGAGAGGATGGAGGCAGAATACCCTCTTGAAAAGCACTATGAACACCCCCCCCTCTCCTAAAAAAACAGTCAATTATTTTTTGAAACCCTTTTGGTAAAGACACATGAGGTAATAGAAATGGTTAAGAAAATATTTATATAATAATTGTTAAATTTAGGGAAAGCAGAAAAATTTTAAAGTAAGCGAATAGGGTAAAATAAACGAATTCCGATCTGGATCATAGATCTCAGAATCATCATCATCAGAAGAAGAAGAAGGAGAAGAAAGCTAAATAATGTATTAACATAAATAATTTTATAAAATAAATTTACAATTCTCAGAATCTGAAAAAATCTTTTACCCTCAAGGTTATATGTAATAATTATTTTCTTTCTCGTCTTAGCCATATTATAAATATTTCGAAATTTAGACATTTTTCCAAAAAACTTGTCTCGAATTTTAAATGGTAAAATTAAAAGATATCCTCAATATGATCCAACGAACGTCTTTTCCGCCATTCCCTTTGGTGTAAATAAAAAAATGAGGCTTAATTTTAGTTTCATAGAGTCTTTCATTAAACTTTATAATGATCAAATCGAGTGCAGCATAAACTGGTTTTATATACTCCTTTTTGGATTGTAATGCTTGAAGTCTAGAACTTTTAAAATCAAAGGGTAGATTTCTCCTCTTCATAAAATCTTGTGCCTTTGAAAAAAACTTTCACGAATCTAGTGTTATTATCTATGGGATTAAAAAATAATTCATAATATATTATTCAAATCAATCAGGGTATCTTTTGCCAATAGAATTTGATTCATGCAAACTATATATCCTTCGAAATGTTTTCAATTTTGTAAAAGCCAAGCTTTGTTGTCAACCATATGTTATCCAAAAAATACAAAGTGATAAAATAAAATATTTCTATTCTAAAAAAACAATAGCACTAGTCTGATAGAAGTGTCAGAATCTTCAGAATCCTTTAAATTTGCTAAAGCTATCCTCAAAGCATTGTAAAATAGAAAATATTTTTACAAAAGCTTTATATGATGATACCCAGCTTCTATGAATATAAAATAAACATTTTAAATCTAAACAAATAGTGGCATTCATGATGCCCAAAAATCGTTGCGGTTTTATCAGTACACTATTGACATGCTTTAAGCACTGCATATCCTTTAACACCATTGAAATACAAGTGAATCTCGCAGATCATTAAAACATTTCTTAGTTCTTTTATCGATTGGCATAATTGAACAATGATTAGATTTAATCGATTATAATAGCACCAAATAAAAGCTGCCTTTGAGATCTCAGCCCTAATCAAAGTCTGTACTCCTATGATCTTTCCACTCATTTGAAGCACCATCATAGCATTGCCCAATTAAGAATTCGAGGGGTATATTCATGGAACTGTTTGCTTATTATATTTTTTTTAATATCAAGACCAATTGTGTTACCATTTTCAATATATCTTACTAACAAAGCTACTGTTTCTGATTTCTAAACATAATATGTAATGTACAATCAAAAATAATTTAAAAACACCTGCTAAATTCAATCTCTTATAGAATTTTTTTATAATTGAACGTATTTTTTCCGGCAATGTGTTATTTTTTCAACTTTAAATCATTTTTTTAGAGGATTTTATTATTATTTAAAGATCTGATTTAACCAGAAATGTATTCCGCCATGTTTGGATTACCCACCCTAAGAATTTCAGGCAACTTTTTCATAAATTTTTAAACTTAATATAATTTATATTCGATTTTCCATATATTTTTTTATATAAATTATATATGACTCAAAGATTAACAGCAAAATTGTCTACGATTCATGAGATAGGTATTCCAAACATGCTGGAATATTCCGGTAAAATCAGATTTTTAAATTTATTAAAACGAAATCAAAGAATGATTTAAAGTTGTAAAAAATAACACTTTGCCGGAAAAAAACATTGACGCTAACATAAATCATATTTTTCATAGTTTCAATTTGAATATTTATATTATTATATGACAATGACAATGACAATAGATTAGAATATAATTTGGATTATAATCCCTTTTTTTTGTCTCCAATTTTTTATACGATTTGAGGACAGGATTTGAATTCTGCAATTAGTTTAATAATGTCTTTAAAGGCTACTATTCCAAAGCTTTTCTTTGTATCGTTAAAACTTAGTCCACCATGTCTTTTTCTAACATGATCTCTCCATTCGTCATCCCTTATATTATGCCGTGTGTAATCATTAATTAAGTATTTGTATTTATTTTGGTTAATATTTTGAAATTGGGAAAATAATTTTATGACAAGACAAGAAACCTGGTTATAAATTGGTATAATAAAAAAAAAATGAAATAAAATTTAAAAAAGAAAAATATCCTAAATTTTAAGAAGCAGTTGCTTCGTACCCCCTGTCCGCTGTGGGGTTCACTGGGTGGGGGGGGGGGATGGCTGGGCAGCGTCTACATGACAGGATATTTACTGGAGGAAAATTCCTCTCAGAAACCTATATTTACCCCTCTAAAAATTTAATTAAATGGTATTTCCTAGTGTAGTTAAACGGCTCGATTTGAGCCAATTTTTTAAAAAAGCGGACTCAACATTTTACCCCGGAAAATATTATGCAAGCTCTGAAGATTTTGTTTATAGATGGCACAAAGGTTTTGGCATCTATTAGAGAAATCTCGAGGTTTAGGGAATACTTTTTTAGCTAAAATATTGAATAAACTGTTTTTAAAATCTGCTAAAACAGAGATGTTTAACAAAAATAGTACTCCGCCCCCGCCCCCTCCTTTCATAAATTTAAAAAAGAATCACTCAAATTATCAATACTCTACCAAATAATTCTGAATGTTAAAGAATTTTTTTAGAACATAAATTAAATTTTAAACCACATCATTTACAATGAATGCATTATTATAGTATAATGTTTGGCATGAATATGAGTTTACTGATAAGAATATCCAACACTTTTAAAATACGTTTTAAAAAATAGCATTATTTGAAAAATAAAGATTTGGTAAATGTTTAGATTTTGCCCTATTTTATCTGATTCACTTAATGACTCCTCCCCCCCTCTCCAACAAATTTACCCTGCCCGTTGTCAACCCCCCCCCTCTTAGATGCCTACACACTACCCCCACTTCAAATAATTTGTAGGCAAAATGTTTATACTCCCTTACTCGTAGACGCTGGGCACATTAGCTCGATCCCCCTGAAAAATTTGAAGTACCCTTTGAAATTTTTTATAAAAAGGTAATTTTAAAATAATTAGTTTAAAAAATTCATATAATTTACGCTCTCCTGAGTTAAGGACTAGTGATGCCAACTATAAACAAACCTGAAAAATTTGATAATAAAATATACCATCATGAATTATCCAGGCTTTTTTTTAACTAATGATAATATCAAAATTATACCAAATTTAGATTAGAAAATATTTAAATAGGGTAAAATTGTTAGTCATAGCAAAATTAATCATAAAAAAATATCAAGTTAAATTTAATTTACATGACAGTTGTAAGATGCCAAAAATGTGTCCAATTTATACATATTAAACACATCAGACATTTATTTAATTTGATAAACTTTATTATGATATCTTATATTACTGATATTTAAAAAAATTATGATATAATATATATATATTTTTTTTTATAAAACTATGAAATCAACTTTCTTATATAAAAATAAAATCATCCAATATATAACCTTCATTTGTGTTGTGTGTGTACATATAACTAATGCATTGAAAAAAAATATTTTAGAAAATATAATACATCCATAATATTAAAATTTATATGAATTAAATTTGGATTATAATAATAATATAACAATTTAATAGGGCAAAATTGTTAGTCATAACGAGATTAATTATATAAAAACTTGTATAATAAGAAAATGCCAAGCTAAAATTTACTACTTACCACCACAGTTGCTTTTTTGGCGCATATAATCATTACTAAAACATTTAAAGAATGAATGCTGAAGGTTTATTTTAAAAAAAAGCATTGACATGATATATGGAGACAATATTCGAAATTTGAAGAAAAAAAATATATATAAAAGTAAAACGTTGTGAAGGAAATAAAAATATATTTAATTATATAAACTACAAACATGTAAAATTTCTACAGAAATCAAAATTTTAAGTTATTTTCGTAAATGAACAAAAGGGGTTAGAAATAAACGAAAGTTTTATTGATTAGCTGTCACTAGTTGAACGTCATTCGTATTCATCAAAGGACTTTTAAGATTGCCCACTGGTTTAGATTGTACCTTCGAGGCCGCTTTATCCTTGAAGTCTAGTTTGTATGATTGAATCTTTTTTTGTTCAAAATAAATTAATAATTATTTGTTTTATAACAATGATTGATTGCCTTTGACTAAAACTATGATTCTAGCCTATTTCCATATCTATCCTCAATTCCATCTAATTAATTAAACTTGCAGTACAAACCCTTGTATCCCCCATATTATAACAACTTTTCGGGAGGAACAAAAACATTTAACCGTTATATATTTATAAAAATTCCGTCATAATAATGAATTTTAAAAAAACGGGTTTCTATTATTTGAGATGAACAGTTATATTTTTAGCCGAGATTGACCACCTGAAGCAGAGAAAAGCTAATTCTCGTCTCAATGCTTAACCGCTTTTCTCCGGCGCAATCTGTGAACCGAGTCCCTTATTGTTTGTTTTTTAATTACACACCTGTTATATTTAAATGTTTATATATTTTAAAAGGTTACGCTATTTGAATTATATATTTCCTACATTTTATATTATCTAATGGAGGTCAATGTAATTGCATAGTAGTAGTTAAATGACATAATTACAAAAGACTATATATAGGAAACAATTTTATAATAAAGAATTTTTGTTTTGACTATAAAAACACCTACAATCGGAACTGATATACTCGTTTATGTAAAAAAAAAATAAATGGATTTGGAATTTTTCAACTATTAGAGATTGCAATTTACAAGCTGCTAGTTATAAAAACTTATATTGGTATTACCTTATTCCTGGAAAACTTTTAGAATAATTTTCTTAGTCTTTATTTAGTAAATATTATACACGAAAGAGTGTTTCCGAGTGTTTATTTTCTAACATAAAAATGAAAATAATGATAATTTTTTTTAGGCAAATATTAGCCTTTTATAATACGATATATAAATAAAAATTATATTGAAACATAATTCTTAAACTTAATACAATGGGACTCAGATTTACCATGAGTCCTACAATTAATATAATCGCAAAAATAAAGAATTTTTAAAATAGAATCTAATCACAAACACAATGCAGCCAACGATATATTTATTATAAAAAAAAATTCAATCTCCATAATTACTCATTGGTGCCTTTCAGCGGGGGATAATCATCTAGTCACTTAGGTATAATTATTTGAAAATGGGGTAATTGATTCATTTAACGAGAAATTAAGAAAGCCACCATCAGTATTATATATTAAATGGTCACTATTTTTTGTAAAATGATTTCTAAACGTAAAATTATTTTTCAGTAAAATGATATTATTTTTTCTTTATTATTTTAATTTAATTTTAGTTAATAATATCTGGATTCTCTTTTGTCAAATTCGAATTTATAAAGGGAGAAAAAATAAATCCAATCCATGGTTAAGAACATTTTCTCTACGCTAACTCGGGTTGGCGCCATCAAATAACAATATACAAAAAATAATTAAAAATAGTTATCGATAGGTGGCAAAATTTTTAAACAGATTCGGTTTCGTAAATAATAACGTTAACAAGGGTTTTAACGGTTCAGATTGGAAATGTTATATTTTAATACTTGTTTGATTTGATTAGTTACAATATTTTAGCCAAAAATATCAAGCAAGCATGGAGATTTTGTTCATAAATGACAGAAAGGTTTGGACATTTATTAACGAAATCTAGAGACTTGCATAACATTTTTTGGCTAAAATAATGGGTTATCAGTTTTCATAAATAGAGCCGTTTAACAACAATAGTCATTAAAAAAAAATAATACTTTAATTTTTCCCCCGGCAGGAGTGTAGGAAGCATTTTCTAAAGACCCAATCTTGGATTTAACTTTATTCTTAAGGTCGCTAATTTTCGAGTTTATATTCGCGGTCGTGGAAATGTTCGTCTTTTTAGGCTTGGGTTGATTTTCGTCGCTGTTGCTCATGACCTTATTAGTAAGGTGAGGTGTTGCTATTCCGATAGGCAAGGACCCAATCTTGCTTTGCACGTTCTTCAAGTAATCTGGCTTCTATGAATGTAAAGGTATACGTGTTATAACAGTGTCGCAAATAATTATATTTATATAATCACTATGTTTGAATTATTATATTCTTTAATTTATATCTCATTAGCGTAAGGTTATTATAATATTTTCATCCAACCACGATTCGAGGGTCGACCTGTTACAGTGAACTCAATGAGAATGGCAAATCTAGTTCCCATTTTTAATTTAGCACTGAGGAAACTTGCCTCTTAGATCGAAAATTGAGATTTAACCCACAATTAGTGTTGTTAAACGGTTCGATGTTTTAAAAACGGCCAACCAAATATTTTAGCCTAAAAATATTAGGCGAGCCAAGAGATTCTGTTCATAGATGGTAGAAAAAGGTTTAGGCATCACTTAACAAAATCTCAAAACTAGCGTAATATTATTTTGGCCAAAATCTTAATTCGAAATAGGCGAAATCGATCATAAAATAAGTTCACACTGTATATTATAAATGTTTAACGGAATTAAAAATAACCATACTTTAGGTATTCAATTATCACAAAATGCCGCTTATTTAAAATGGATAGGCACAGTAATTCCTCCTTCAAATAGGAGAGATGAAAAAAATATACAATATGAATTTGTAATAACCTTGTAAGGGGAAAGTCCATTGGTTTTGGGTTGTTGGCTGACAGATTTGTGCATGAGATATTGTTCGTTGGTCCCCTTCCCGCTTGACAAATTAAGAGAAGTGTTGGTCCTTTTGGCGTTTCCAGTTTTCTTGTCCTCTGAAAAAAAAAATGCAAGATCATTAGAGCCTTTTTGAAAAAAAAGCTTCATGTATTTTCCAATTACGCTATAACAATGCAAATATAGGATTATTCTAAATTATTTTGATATTTTTTTATATCTGATTGGAAGAATTGATTTATAGAAAAAAATTATAAGGATATACAGTATAATACTCATCCAACTATACGCAATTTATAAAGACGATATCCGTAATAGAAAAGCAAACCTTTGTTTTGAGTTTCATTAAGAGCAGGCGATGTAACGGTACAGGTTTTAACGAAAGATAGCGATCCGCATTTGGACTTCACGTGAGAATAATCTGCCCTTTTACCACCCAACTGATTGAGGAAAAATAAAACAACGATGACGTATTTTATTATGGGAACAAATTATATGCAAGGCTTTTAAAAATATGATTTTACAGTTTTTAAATTATTTTTACACACCAAACCCACTAAATTTGGTAAAATTTAACAGAATCTTAGGGCTGCTGGCAAAGCGGCCAATATGTTACGCGGTTCAGACTAAAGCCTGAACTCAACTCGTGGCGACTAGTTTAGGGCTAGCAACAAAGATAATGATTAGTGTTTATATTAAATAAGGAGATATATTATTCAGACACCGAACCCATTAAACTCGGTAAAATCTTCAAAAAAAAACTAACTAATTTTATTTTGAAACAGTGAAAACATGAAATAAAAACTGAATAAATTGATTTAAAAAAAATATATTATAAAAGTGTTAAATTAATTATTTAAAACTGTCAATTGGGATTAATCAACTGCGCAACTAAATGATATCATTTTAATATTTATCATTAAAATTTTACGTCCAATTTCTGCTAATATAAAAGAACATATTACTAAAAAAAAATTATACCTAAGAACTAAATAATAGGGTTTTAAGCCCAGAGAGGAGTGGAAGCTTAGAAAATTAGAGCAACAATATATAATTTATTTAGGTGAGGTAAAACAATCCTCAGAATCTCCGATATCTGAGGTATTTTTCTCAATTAATTGGCCTGCCTTCTTAAAGATTTCTAAGCTGGTGGCTAGGAGCTGATGAAAAATAGGCGCAGATATAATCCCATATTAAGAGAAGACCGTTAGACCTAATGTCTATCAAGATCTCGCTAGATATATTAGATCTACTCCCTTATTTTTAAATTCTATTTATTTTGTCGCTTTTTAAGTTAATTTATATTTTAAAAAAAACACCTTTAACTTATAAAAGGAGATGATAGATAGCCTTGTAAATTTTGCATAGTTTTAACGATTTCTTAAAAAAATATCAAAATCAATATATTATTCTATGTAAAAAAACTTAATTTTTAATTCATTCATTTTATTAATTATATATATTTTTTTTAAGAAATTATGAGAAGAAAAAATATAGATATGGCTGAGTGCGTCGGTCGTTACACCCCGGCGGATATTAATTTAATTGATTATGAATAAAAATGGCGAACTTTAGGAGTCGCCGATTTTGAGCCTTGTTTGAGATTATTAGCGTTAGCGTGAGGAGTGAGCGGCGATTTAAGATCATTATTGGAGTGTTGCTGCTTTTTGATAGGCGATGCGTTGTCCCCCGTACATATGCCTTTAAAAAATTTCAAGTTCAAAAAATATAAGTCCAATATAAAATGATTTTTAAAAAATGGGTTATGGAAGCAGCGGCTCATTAGAAGCAAATTTCAAAAATTAACACTCGAAAACCATTCTGTGGATTTTCCGATTAAACAAACCTAGAAAGTATGTATTTTCTGGATAACTCAACAGAAAATAGATGGAACTTTAGCGAATATATATTTGTTTCCTTATAAAGGCAGATTTACGCTACTTTTAAATTCAATACAAAAATTATTTTATAATTTTGAATATAAGTATATAATAAAATTATCGTTTTTTTTATATATTATATACCCAATAGAACATTAATATGTCTGAAAAATGAAATGAATAAGAGACTAAGAGTTACGATAAATTAATTAAATTATACTAGAAGAAGATGATCTTGTACTTGATAAATCTTCGTTAAGGGTGTTTCCCTTTTTCATAAAAAATAATAAATACTGACAAATTTCATGTATATGTTTAGCGTCAGTGTGTTTTTTCTTCGGCAATGTGTTATATTTACAACTTATAAATCATTTTGTGAGATCGTTTTTTTTTAAATTTTAAAATCGGATTGTACAGGAAATATATACTATCATGTTTGGAATGCCTATCTTATAATATGTAGACAATTTTGCTGTTAACCTTTGAGTCAATTATAATTGATATTAAAAAAAATATATAGAAAATCTAATATAAATTATATTAAGTTTAAAAGTTCACGGAAAAATTGTCTGAAATTCACAGGGTAGGTATTTCAAACATGATGGAATACATTTTTTTTTCAGTAAAATCAGACTTTTAAATTTAAAAAAATAGCGCGTTCAAAAAATGATTTAAACACATTGCCGGAAAAAAAACAAATTGAGTAGTTTATAATCATAAGAAGCAATAGATGTATTTTATTTTAATAAATGTTAATATTTCACGTAATTATTTTTGCAAAGTTTATGCTGCTTTTAAAGGTAGCGATTAATAACACTGGGAATTCTAGATAGTTCTAAAGAGTTTTAAAAAGAAAGACTACAACTGACAAAGGCATTATAGGATATTAAATACCTCAGAAAATGGAATATTTTTAATATTAAGATTTATTTTCAAACGAATATTATACATTTTTTGTATTCGCCGAATATAAATAATATATTATATTTAAATAGATGATTCGAAATTGACTTATTATAGCTCACTACTATTAAGTATTTAGTCATTTAAATAAGAGCTATTTTTTTTTTGATTAATAGTCGGCGAAAACTTCGATTAAACTGGTTAAACTTAGACGTTTCTTCGTAGTGCGAGTTTTCACCCCTTTAAAAAAAGATCAAAAGCAAGGCAAGTTTAATCATATAAAATATCTGTAAGACTTCCCTTTATTTTGGAAGAAATATTATCAGATTTATCTCTAAAGAGTAGAATAAAATTAGGTATTAAAAAATAAATAATATCCCAACTATCTTTCCATTTCGTGATTCCTACTCTTCCAATTTTGTAATTATAATTTTTTCATTATTGTCGTATTTTTTAGATGACTGAAAAACAGAGAAGATCTAGTGAAGGGTATCAACTTTTTTTAAAAAATAAAATAATCTGTTAATTCCGAATTTGGCAACAGCTTGATTCCCGTATTTATGCTATATCCGAGCCGGGCAGTATTTTAATATTTTTTAAAAAAAGCCGGGCCGAATAACTTATCGCCACGTACTTTTGTGACTCTTTCATGAATTGATCAATATAACTAAAATTTTAAAAAATGAATTATTTTATTTTTCAATTAAGTCATGGTAAGTATAAAATACGTCCATATACTTTGACAATGAATTACAGAAATAATAGAAAATAATTATGCCCCAAATGCTATTTTTAATATAGGAATAGTTAGTTGTTAAAAGGCTCGATTTGAGCCGATTTTTAAAAAACGAATAACTCAATATTTTAGCCAGAAATATATTATCTAAGCATCGAGGTTTAGTAAATAAATGTTCAACCCTTTGTGCCATCTATGAGGAAAATCTTAAGGCTTGCATAATATTTTTCCTAATAAAATATTGAGTTCGTTTAACAACACCAGAAATAGCATGCATATCTTTTGAAATTTAATAAATTTACCTTAAAATAAAATTTTTAGGGTATTTTTAGAAAAACTTAAAAATAATGGACGAAAAATAGTAGTTAGAATCGTGTATGCTAAATTTTTAATTATTTATGTTTATTATTAAATCAGATTATTTTAAGCAACTCGCATTAAGATGCGTCCAAACAATTAAAAATAAAGGTATAAAAAAAAGAGCAACACGTTTTATGCCGCTATGATAATCAGAGGATTTGATTTTTAGGTAGAAACGTTGTACCACTGTGATATAAAGGGTTAAAGTAATGCTATATTTGTTTACACAACTAAAAATAACTTTAAAAAATGCTATTCTAAAGCAAAAGAAGATTGGACTGAGCTTGGACAAAGATAATGGGATAAAATAAAAATACCTATATATATATCTGGACAAAAAATATCTTTGGTCTGGGCAGTTAGCCCCAAAAAACCAAGACAAAGATACGCTATAAAAGAACTATAAACAGAAAGTTGCGAAAGTGGCATACTTTTGTGGTTGATCTCTTGACAATTTTCCTTTTGACTTTCTTGGTGGTGGTAATAATCGGAGTGACCGTTAGTCATGAGCGTGTCTCCGGCCACGCCATTGATTTGGACCTCGTTGTTCAAGTTCACCTTTTCTATCATGTCCGTCAACTCCTTTATAGACTCAAATAATTACAAATTTATAAATTTAGGTCAGTTCCTAGTTAAAAGGCTTCCTAATAATCCAAATCATTTAAGTAGACGTTGTTAATCGGCTCGATTTTAGCCGATTTTTAAAAATGGCTAACTCAATATTTTGGCCAGAAAAATATTGTCTGAGCCTCAAGATTTCGCTAATAGATGTCCAAACCTTGGTAACACCTGTGAGCAAAATCTTAAGGCTTGCATAATATTTTTCCCTAATAAAACATTGAGTTAACCGTACACTACATTTAATAAATATATGATTCACGTTTTATATAAACTATATCAGCAAGACTGCGTCTTAGCCGCTGTTATCTTCGTAATTTTTATTAGAATTATAAATCACTGTTTGAATAGAATATAATTCTTAAATTTAAAAAAAAAATAAATAAGAATTACATTTTTAAGCATTAAGCGTATTTTAATTAAGATATCATCCATCTTATGTCAAAATATATTTTTTCGTAAAAAAAAGGTATATCTATTGCTGTTAAACGGCTTTTTAAATATTTGAGCCGATATTTAAAAACCGGCTAATAGATATCCAAACCATTGGGCAACTTATGAACAAAATTTCCAGGCTTGAGTAATATTTTTCTGGATTAAATATTGAGTTAGCCGTTTTTAAAAACCGACTCGAATCGAGCCGTTTAACAACATTAGATATATCCCAGCAAATTTTCTAAGGAGAATGTGCTCTATTCAGAAATTAAAAACGAAAATTAAGAGGGTTGGGACGCAATGTCAGGGCTAGGGCATGGTGTTGTTAAACGGCTCGTTTTGAGCCGATTTAAAACGGCTAACTCAATACTTCACCCAGAAAAATGTTACGCAATCCAAGATTTTGCTCATAGAAGGAACAAAGGTCTATACATATATTATCGAAACCTCGAGGCTTAGGCAATATCTTTCCGGCTAAAATACTGAGTTAGCCGTTTTCGGTTCAAAACGAGACGTTTAACAACTCTACTGAGGTACATTTAGAAAATTGTAAATATAAACTGCTAATGGACCTGACATTCATATATTTTTAGAAAACATTAGAAATTGAAATGGCGTTATGTGATATACGACGATCAAAAAAATAATAACTTCAACGATAACAAAAACGTAAAATTCAGTTAATATCATATCCTTATCAAGTTTAAATTATGAATTTTGGATAATAAATTTTACCTGCGAATTAGATGATTTTTCTTTGAGAACCGGTGATAAATTCTGACTTCCTCGAGAATCTTCAACAAATCAACAAAATTTTTATATAAAAAAATTAATTAAAATAAGGTGGTAACTAATTATTGCTTTTAGAGATAAAATAGATATAAACGAGAAAATAAAACAAGAGAATTTAATTGTAAAAAAAGGGAAGGAGAAAAAAAAATATATTTATATTAAAAACGATGTTCGGTGCATGCAAGTGCAACCTAATTTTTTATTGTTGCAAAAAATTGTAATAATAATAAAATAAATGTAAATAAAGATAAAATAAAATATTTTTTTTTACAAGTTCAACTGAAAAATGGGAAATTATGTATATAATATGGTTTTTTTTAAAATTTTTCCACGTTTAAAAAAGGATAAAAAATAGTATAAAAATCAGCGGCTAAACATTAATTTTTTTTAAAAATCTGTCTTGCTATAATTAAAATTTAAAGCGAATCTCTAATTATGGAAACAGTTGGAAGGGAAAAAAATTACTTTCTTCCACTTTTACTTCTTAAACTGAGAAGGGGAGAGAGAGGTTTTCAAAGAATTATTAAAATATATAAAAAAACAAAATTAACGAAACATATTGATTTCATTTCCCATTCAAGGCTATGGAAGGATGAAAGGAAAAGGAGAAAGATGAGCCTCGCGCAATAGTTGGATCTGCGCAACAAAAAAAATTATTCTCGAATTACTTATTTGTTTTAATGTAAAAATAAAAGTTGAATAAAATGATAAAAAGGGGCTGGAACGAGAATAATCAGAATCCAATCTAAAGAATCTGAAAAATATTGAGTCTACAGAACCCTTTCCTGGGGTTCTGAAAGCTCCTGGAAAAATAATTATGGTTAAAACTTCTTATACTTTTATTTCCGCAATCGCGACGAATAGAATTGATAATTATAAAAATATTTGATGGGGTTGATGTTGTGAAAGAAATAGGACTTTAAATTATCCGAATTGCTATGGATTAAATTAAAGATGGAATATCAAAAATGTAAATTTATTTCTAAGGTTTTATAAAAAATAATAAAATAAAAATACAATTATATCTGAAATGTAATTTTAAAACATTGTATTATAATATTATATTGTATTGTAATAAGTTATTTTTTTTATCATGGATCATTTTTATTAATATAATGGATAATGGAGATGATAATAATATTGTAATATATGTAATGTAAAATCATGTAACTCGAGGTTATAATTTTAAATAACACAAGGTTGGGCTTTATATTATAATACATTAAATGTATTAGACAATTTAAACTATATATAATATTTAATTTATTATTGAAAAAGGGGAAAGAATGGCCTAATGAAATATGGATTATTTTTGTAAAATAAAATTAAAAACATTATTAACGCAGGATTTTCGATTTTACGTATGGAGGGAGGAGATATGATTATAAATATTGGTATGAGTGGTACAACACGGGGCAAAGAGAAACAATACATTTTAAGCATTATCCATTGTCATAATCATGTAATGTCATAAATGCGTACATATTATTTATTTATTACTAAGTTTTACAAATCAAATTCGAATAAAGGTAATATTAATTAATAAACTATGCTATTATTTTTATTATTATTTTGCTTATATAATACATTAAATTAACTGTATTACATATGCAAACTATATAATATTTGATTTATTATTGAAAAGGGAAAGAATGTCCTAATGAAATATAGATTATTTTTGTAAAATAAAATTAAAACATTAACACAGGACGTGTGGAGAAGATATGATTTCAAATATTGGTTATTAGTAGTACAGTACACCATTTGAATCATTATCCATTGTCATACATATCATGTCATAAATGCGTATTGATTACGAAGTATTACATATCAAAAAAATGTAAAAAGAAAAATAACGTAATATTAATTAATAATCTAATTTTTTATTATTAGTTTGCTATGGAAAGAGTAAAGACAGACAGGTTATTTACCGTCATTCTCATATTTTTCCTTTTTTTATTTACAGGGCTTGCCGGGGGCTTGATTTAGTAATCCAGTAAGTAATAACATGATTTGTTATAAAACATTTCCATATATTGGTATAACAATTTATAAAATTGTTTAACCTGCTGAAATCGAGAAAGAAGTAGAATACAATAAGCCTACAAAATTCAAATGCCTATGATTGCAGAAAAATTTTGAACTTTGGTACGCAAAAACTTTAACATCGGAAAACACCTTCTATAACCAATAATGCAGCTATTAATATTGAATCAATAACGAAGAAGAAATCGAATAGACAAATTTCGTAAAAAAATGTCCCCTACAAGATGGCTTTCACTTGTTTCCGTAGAAGAAAAACTTTATAAACATTTTTGAACCTTTAAAAAAATATTTTTTCTCTTTTTAAAACTACAACTAATTTTAAAAATCATTTTTCGAAGACCAATTACTAGAAAACTATCTAGGTTTAATAGTAAAAATGCTTGAATCAAATGAAGTTATAATAGTAGATTTATGACTACCATAATAAAGGCTCAATATAACCAGGAATTTTACGGTAACAATTTTACAATCTTGATTGACTGAGATAGACAAAGTCTAAGCATATAAAGAAAGAGTTTAGAGAAAGTATTTTTAAAAACAATTATCCAATACAACGAAAACAATTATGTTTTTAAATGATTATAAATATAAATATCTTAAAGTTTATGCCATTGAACAACGATACAATCAAGTTCGAACATTTTGAACGAATTGTAGGTAGCTTTAAACTTAAAAATGTAGGCATGGATCTGAAGTTCAATTCAATCTCCAATATTCCAAAAATCAGTTGTATTTTCTGTTTGCAGTTGGAATAAGCGATGAGTAAATTAAGGATCAATTACCGTAGAATTGGCAATAACAGTAGATTGAGAAGAAGAAAAAAAGGATATGATGGAAATAGAGAATAATTATGATAAAAAGAATTACCAAATATCTATGATAAATTCATCTCAATATTTTGTTGTTTATTAAATAAGAATGTTTCTCCTATACCACTATTTCTTTCTTTCTCTCTTTATACCGAAGACTTGCAGAGGTACCATTTGGACCACCCGACCTGGCCTGGGTTTTATATTTTAAGGACCGGCCCAGCTCTTTTTAAAATAAATTTCAAGCCCAGCCCGCTTTATCATAGTTTTGCATTTAAATAATGTAACCCTTGTAATGTCTTTTTTATTACACATTCCTTAAGATAATGATCATTACAATTACCCTACCCTAGTACCATTACTTTATCTTATCTACTTCTAAAATTATGTCATACGATAAATGTTAGCTAAGAATAAATAAAATTGTCCTTCATTTTCATCGTAACTATTTATTAGTTGTATATAAATATAAGTATAAGTCAAGTATTTTATATTAATTTATTGATTTTTTTTAAGCAAAAAAAAGGATGGACAAGTTAAAAGCAATGTATTTTTTTTTAATTGGAGATTAAAAAAAATAAAAATAATTTGTGGTTAAAGGGAATTAAATGCATGATTATTTTAAAAAATTAATTGATGGTTATTTTTTATTCGAAAAAATTGTGCCGGATATTGTATGCTAATTGATTGATGATGAAAGAATAGTGAAATTTTTAATAATCTCATACATTTTTGTGCATAAATTAGCTAATTAATCGAAAATGAGATTACAATCCCGGCCCTGTGGTAAATTAATGGATATCATTAAAACTCGTCGTTTTGGAAATAACAATTTCTAAACAACAATTTATTCATTTTTAAAAAAAATACAATAAGACCCATTTTTGATATTATATTTACTTATCCTAAATCACGCGCCCGCAAACTGCTATATATCATACCCCGTAGCGGAAAATAATAATTTAGTTTCAGGGGGGGAAACCCCGATCCTTACAGGATTCGAACCCAGATCGAAGTTTATAATAATTCCCGTAATCAACAACTATAGTGGTGAAACACATTAGACGCTAATTGAAAAAAAGAACTAAACATATGTGGTGTAGCAATGATGTCAATCAAAACGATAAAAATCTTTAAAGTTATAACCACACTTAATCGATAATTAGTAGTAGACATTTACGGTGACATGGTAGGTAAATCAAAGAATTCAAATGTTTTTTTTAAAATACGTACTAGAGTCGTTAGCATTGGATTTACTCTTGCAGGCATCGGAATGTGAATCCAAGTGGGTTGGATCCTCCTGGCAGAGAGTGAATTTAACGCTTTCCTGTGGAAGAGAGTTACCGTGTCCATTCGTAACGTACTCGTTATGGAGGAGCGAATCGTGTTTTTGGGATGGTAACATACCAATATTATTATTATCGTATTTTAGGGATTTGTGAAGCTCTTGGGAGCCATTGGTGTGTTGGAACTGTTCAAAGTTGGAGGTTTCCATGTCTGACACTTTGTTATCTTCTATAATAGGTAAAGATGGGGAGGATGAAAGTGGGATCGTGTTATAATCTTGCTCGCTAAATAAATCGTGGGTTGGATTTGAGATCCTTGCGAAATTCCGATTGTTATGATGATCGCCGGAATTAAGAGAATGGTGCGTGAGGGTGTCTTGTTCAAGCGTGTTAGCACGATTATTCTCTTTATTTATTAAGCCAAAGTCTTCGTCTCGATAATCCAATAAATGATCTTCACAACTGACTAAGGAATAGAGATGTTGAGATGGTTCTTCGTTCGTTTCGTTCACGTAAGTATTCGTGAGACTATCTTTGGTAGCCGAAAAGTACGACGTATTATTCTGTGAAGTCTCGGGTGTATTTACGCGTGAATCTGACGAATCCTGCAAATCTTTTAAAATGGGGCTATGTCGTTCCGCGGTATCTGGGGGTTGATCGATAGTATTTTCTTCGAAAAGTGGGGATGTTCCGAACCTCGTAGTAGTAGTAGTATTCTCAAAATTTGTATTATCGGTGAGAGTGAAGTCTGAGTGATAAGGATTCAATCCGTCAAAATTGTTGAAAAATGTGATTTCTTTAGGCGTTAAGTGGTCTTTTTATATATATTTATATAAAAGAAAATACATTTTAAAAATATTAAAAATTGTTAATTTATTTTGTGAAAATGACAAGAATTATTTTATTTATTTTTTATAAAGATCTTTGTCCAAGAGAGAAGACGTAGTTATATAATACGAATTAACTTGTCAAAAATCAATTGTGATATCCCTCCCCCCCACTACCAACAATAATATAGCTATAGATTTAAAAATTATTTAATGTCAATGTGAATCAGTATGAATGAATGAATAACTACGACTAATTATTTACTTCGAAATCCTAACATCGCCCGAATATTAAAATTGTTAAATGGAAGCATTGTTTCTTAGAAAATCAAATTTAAATATTTTTATTTTTTAAAAAACAAAAAAAAAACTGAAATTAATGTGTTTTATCAAAATTTAATACGCCATATGTAAAATAATATAAAAAAGCAATGTTCTTCGCACATCACAAACAGATGCAAATACAATACGTAAGACGAATATTGACGGGGCAATGTCTTCCATTTTTTTGGCTTATTTATTTATTTTTTGTTATTACTATAGAATTAATGATTAATTATACAAACTAATAGCTGGTAAGCTGATAAATCCCCAATAGCCAAAAGAATATGTTCTTTAAAATAATTTTGAAGAAATTTATAAGGGTTTATCTTTCATTCTAATCTGGAGGACCCCAATTAGTTACAGAATATAAATCTTGGTATATGAAAGATTTATTTTGGTATATGCAATATTCCAAGCCCATGGAATTCTTAAATATTTTAAAATACTGCATATTTTGAGCAACAATTCCAATAGGCACAAGCACAAATGATAACTCTTCATTCGGAAAACCTATCTAAGAAGTGCGACATAAAAAATCTATCTGCATCAAGATTACTTAACATAGAAAGAGATGTCCTCTTTTTAGTCATATTATTGAGAAATTGTTTGAATAAGCGAAGATTACGTTTGTAATCTAATGAATATTATATTTTGATTCCTTTTTTAATTTAATCCTATATTTTATCGTTGATTTTTTCTTATACCAGATTATTATATAATTTTTAAACAATATTTTCCAATTTATTTATATATCTTTTTTTCCTGCATAGATAATTATTAAGGACCCGGCAAATTGTACAAATATATTTTTTTACGGGTCAAGCCGGGCCTGAAAATCTTGATCCATAATTTTAGCTGACTTTATAGCACAATGTTTCAGGGAGGCTATAATTCTTCGTACCATGTACAAATTTCTTTAATATCATAAAATGTACATGTCCAAGTTACAATATTAAAACGGAGTAATCAATTTTCTTTCGTTATAAATAGTAATATAAATAATTCTAAAATTCAGCGAGAAAATTCATAGCGAATTTCAATGAGCTAGGACAGGGTAATAAAGTATGATACGAAGAAAAAAAAAATCGTTAAAAAAACATTATTATAAATTTATTAAAAATTTTGATTATATAAAAAAAAAGCAAATAAATATAAAATTTTTTTTTCTTTCTAACCTGTACTACAATTTTTAATAAATAATATTAAGACTATTTAATGTAATGTAACTCAATAATTTGATTTTGTATTTTCTATCGTAAAACGCAAATTTGTAAAATAAAAAATCATTCTAATTTTAATGGAGTGGGTGGGGTATTGTTGGACTGATATACGTTAATTATTATATATATATCTGGCATAATAATTTCGTGCATTTATCCTTTATATAATTCAGAGACCTGCAGGCCCGGCCCTGAGCCCGGGTTAAGGGCCGGGCCGTATTTTAATTTTTTAAAATATATTCGGGCCGATAGTGAAAATTTTTTTAAAAAAAAATTCGGGCCTGGCTGTGCCGTATATTTCAAATGGCCATTATTAGCTATAAAAATCAAAAATAAATATAAAATATTTTTAAAAAAATCCAGGCCGGGCTTGAATTTTTTTTAAAAAATAGCCGAGGCAGACCTTAATATACGGGCCGGACCGTGGAAATGGTACCTCTGCAGGTCTGATATAATTAAAGCTCTCAGTAAGAAATTCACCCAAGTCAAATATTGATTGGCATTATCAATCTATTTTCTTTTTCTTCCTTCCTTCCATCCTTTCTACAAAGAATAAAAATACTTTATTTTTTGTTTTTTCTTTAATTCCCCGAGAAACACGCGATTGTTCGCGGGTAAAAAACCTAAAATTGAAAATATTTTAAAAATATTTAAATCCTAAAATTAAAAATATTTAAATCCTAAAATTAAAAACATTTTAAAAAATATTTAATAAATAAATCCTAAAATTAAAAGATTAACGTTTGTCGTGTCGATGCCGAGTTCATAAATGCCTGTAAAAAAGTAATAACGGATTTGCATGTATTTTATTATAGAATTAAATCACATACACTCACACTGAATTTTAATATGATAGAGAAAAGAAACGAATTTAAATAATTAATTGTACCCTTTTTTAATTATTAATTTTAGTAGAAAACATGTAAAGTTGATGTAGAGGGCTCTATACTCCGCTGAAAATACCTTATTAAGATTACTCGGTGGTACTGGAATCTAGCTAAATCTTCTAGTTCTATATCATCTTCAAAAAATTCATATAACTTCAGTTTCGTTTTCAGTTATGAACGTTATGCATAAAATAAGGATGAAACGGATAACATTTTGATTTTTAAATCTTATCTAACCCAGATCACAAAATTAATATTTAAAGAAATAAATTCTTAATTTTAAATTCATATAATATTTATTTTAAATAGTGCTGTAAATCAGAAACGCGTTACTCTGTAAAATGAGAACGCGTTACTGGCTAATCAAAAAAAAGTAACACGTTACTTTAAAAAAAATACTATTTAAATCACCTTCAACTGAAGAAATAAGTACTATTGACATATATGGACCCATGTCAAATCGACCAAAAAAACGAGATTTTTGGACCACCATCTCTAAATTGAACGAAATTTGGCACGATAGTATTATCTATATTAGTAAAATCAAAATTTTGGAGTGATAGCTCAATCTATGATCCAAAGATATACCTCTTCAAAGCTGAAAATGGCGTAAAGTGTGATTTGATTAAATCTCTTTAAAATAAAAATACTTATTATAGAATCGCAAATTATAAATCATTTTTATAGCCCTCAAAATTCTACATCGGTTCCAAGTATTTTCATATTTCCGGTAAAAAAATGAAAACTTTAACATTGTTACTAAGAGTGATAATATTCTTTTAAGAATGTTTATTATCTTTAAACTGTTTAATCAAAAAAAAAATCGAAAGCCATTTTCGATTATTATTAGTTTTATAAATAAAAAAATATAAATGGCGCTATTCTTGAAATAATATTAGTTGCAGGAGTAGGGAAATTTATTCCTGTTTAATCCAGCCAAAATAAAAAACTTTATTGCAATATATTATACATTTTAGGCTTGGATGTTGCCTTCCTAAAAGGTAAATCACATGACCAGCAGCTCAAAAACTCGGGGAACGGGCTAAAAATTCAATCTGACTTTAATAATCTCGATAATGCAGACAGGAATCTTATCTAGTACGTGATCACTGACCTGCCCAAAGTGAATGAAAGTGAATTATATGGAAGCCCTACCTCCACATAATTACGCCGATATATTTTATCAAGGATACTAACAACCCTTGTAACAGATGATGTATAGTTAACAAAAAAAGAGTGGACCTACACCCTACCCAATTGAAGTAATTAAATTTCTCTTTCTTTTGATTGGACACTGCTCGAAAATCTTAAAATGAAGTGTTTATTTATTATTCGTTTAGTATACTCATATTCTCGATTTCCCTTTTCAAACGACTCGCAATATATTTATTAAAAATAATGGAAATTTTAAAAAATTCCAAGCCGGACCCTTCTCAAAAAAGAATCTAAAATAAAAAAAACCCAAGACCGGGCTTAAAATTTCGGCTTAAGGTTCTCTGAAAAAAAATATATAAAATTCATAATATTTATTTTATTTTTATAAATATTTAAAAAAAATAAAGATTAATGAAATTTAAATATAATATGGTGTGAGTTATTGTATTTTTCAGTAATTTTAAACTAGATTTAGCCAATGGCATATAATAAATTAATACCTATGACGATGCATTAGTTAAAAGTGTACATCAAAGAAAGCAGCTGGGGACGCCATTATGATTACCCATATCATTATTTTAAAAATTTTTAACGAGATGCCAATTTATTCCTATCTCTGACGCAAACGTTATTAAAGAATTGCCTGATCATCGAGAAAATAAGGAAGCAAGTTTTCAATTTAATAATAGTTTTTTAATGATATAATAATTACTATATGGGTTACCAAAACATTCAACGACGCTTGCAAATGCATTATTATGAATGCATCGACTCGACAGTCTAGGTATTATTATTATATCATTGGATTTAGCCGATTTTAAATTAAGATTTTAGCCAGCAAGCCTCGAGATTTCGTTAATAGATGGTGCCTTTATTTTTTTCCAATCAAATTTACTTAACTAAATAAATTTTTATTTTTAATTAAAATAAAAAATATTTTTATTTATATATATATATAATAACATAACTCTCACATATAAATTATAAAGTGTTATGAAATCGTGTTCAACAAGAAAAAGGATAATTTATGTTACGTTTTACGTACGTTGTTATAAATCGTAAATCTAAATGTACAAATAAAAGGTAGCACTTTAAAAAAAAAGGTTATTTTAAATAGATTAAAAAAATAAATTAAATCAAATCATTCTAAAGTTAAAAAGGTAGTGGGATTGAATAAGTAATAAAAATAGGAGAGAAAAAATTGACCCAATTAGTTGTTCAAAAAGACGTTAAAATAACTTTGTTTTATCATTATCGCATCAAACGAAATAATGAAAAGCCGCGAAAATAATTTATTTTTAAAAAAAAATTTAACAGTAAAAAAAATCTAAGAAAATTAGTTTTTTTTTGTGTGTGGTGGGGATTAATTCTTGTTCATTTAATCCCATGTAAATTCTATAT